TTTTTTTTAAAAAGCTTTGAACATTTATATCAAGGAAAAAAGGATTATATATATATATATATATAGTTCATTGGACATGCTATTCAACAGCATGACAGGCCTACAGTTCATATTGTCACACTATATGGGGTAAGTAGTCACAATGCAAACAGACATTTTACAGACTATTAGATTCATAATTTTTAATAAATAAATAAATAAATAAGGGGCAAAATAGTTAATTATGAAACACAACATTTAAAAACTGATTAAATTACCCAACTTCAGAAAATGTTTCAGCTGAAACAAAAATATGTTATTTAATTATTTATTGACATTTATTTATTCAAAATTATTTGAAGTGAGTTGATTTTAATAAATAAATAAATAAATAAGGGGCAAAATAGTTAATTATGAAACACAACATTTAAAAACTGATTAAATTACCCAACTTCAGAAAATGTTTCAGCTGAAACAAAAATATGTTATTTAATTATTTATTGCCTTATATTTATTTATTCAAAATTATTTGAAGTGAGTTGATAGTACAGATCTGCTAGAGAAAACACACACACACGCAAATACCTTAAAGTTACTGATAAGCAGCTCTCTCCATTATAAACACACCTCATGTGTTTAATGAATCACACCATCCTCATCAGACAGGCTGCCACTCGCTTAATAAATCTTACATATGAAGACATTTATAAATCTCATATGCAGTGCAAACGGCTCTATCGCATGCCACAGGTGGGGAAATAAACATCGCGTGAGCTCGCGCGAGGACACTTTACGCAGGTGCATCTCATCACTCCACTGCAGGACACAAAGTTAGTTTCATCCGACATCTGAGAGCCATTGAAACAATGTCAAAGTTACGCACTCTGGATGACAGTCAACCCTGTAGTCTGCAATGGATAGGATGCAATAATGCTCTTACCTTGGCAAAGCTGCGATGTTCTCCATTCACTGCACCACCGAGTGTCCCTTTAGAGAGCATTTAAAATCCAATGGTAGTGCATAAATAGTCCCATATCCCAATAGCCCCACAAACACTAACTCTCCTTCAGATATGAATCTGTATATGCATTAAAGGCGCATCCACATCCTCACAGTTATGTTATTTATTACTCGCGCACGCTGTGTGCGTCTAACGCGGAAAACACTAAAGACAATCCACATCAACTTCGACAAAGCAAAACATAGTCCTACACGTAAAAAGTCAGCATAAATCCACGTCGCCTGAATCTGATGATGATGATGATGTGAGAGCTCCGCTGCGTCCAAAGTGAGAAGTTCAAGCCTCTGAAAGTTCCCAAACTCAACAAGTGCGCCCACACGCGCTCAGAGCAGCGCCGCTGCATCATGGGACTTGTAGTTTGATCCAAATCTTTTTTTAAAGATTCGTTTATATATGCTACATAATATCTAATGCGTTATAAAATTGTATCAACTATCGGTACGTCTAATATTAATGATGTATTTGCAAATTTTAACCAGCATTTTCAAATTGTATTAGAATGTTTTAGGCTACATGCAGTTTTTTATGAGGTCAACCTTAAAAATTAATTTGCACAGCAGGATAATTGAAATTAACTAGCAAAATAAAAAATAGTGGCTAGTTACAGCATACAAAACCATCAAACTGCCATGTAAAATATTTTTAAAATACTTTTTTTGCATGAAAAATTCTATGTGTTTTATGATTTGCAACATATTTGATCAATCAGGGTTTTTATGCCTCCGATGGTCTGCTTAGGTGAGAATATGTAGGAATATAAAACAGCTGTTTTATTCAGAGGCCCAAACTGAGCAAAAAATATGCAATTTGCTGCAGATGCTAATATTTATTTGATGAAATTCTGATCACTTGTGATGTAAATCAATGAGATCTTTATAACAGTAAATAAATATAAATAAAATATAAATATCAGTCATCGCTCTATATCTCCAGTAATCTGTCTCAGTGAGATGAGATTGAAATGCTCCAAACATATAATGCAGTGATTGAGAGCTGAAGAAATAAAGGCTCCTCAGAAGATGTGAGATGTTCTGGAGGCTTGTGAAGATCATTCCTCCGCTGAGGAACAGTGAAAGTAAAGCTTCTGGAAACAAACGCTCCTCAAAAGATCCTGAGGATCAGATTTGAGACTCTAAAACATGATTGATGGAGAATCAAGTAAAGCTGAGCTGCTTCAGTCCAGTGTTCATCTGGAGATATTACTGCAGTTATTCTGACACTTACTTGATAAAAATCAGTCAAGATTTTACACGTGAAGCTCGCGCTGAAGCTGGACGTTTGTACAGTTATACTGAAAGAACATTTGCTTTGTTATTCATATGTATAACTACATATTTAGGATTTATTATATTTTAAGATTGACGTATACTGTATTCTGTTTGATAGAATGATTCCCTTCATAACACTTCATATTGAAATAAATCTGTACGAGTTAGTGCATATGTGGTCAAAAGCAAAGATTTATGGAATAATACGCGCTCACCCACACACATACTTCTTGGTTGGTGAGCTTGTCCAAGTTGCATTACTGCATGACCGGGAGGCCGACTATGAAACACAAAGACATTGTGAGCCGTCTCTTTGTTTAACCTCAACACATTCCTTCACACATGCCATAACCAAAACCACTTCAGTGCCACAGATCACATGACTGCACCCAACTATTCCAGGTTATGTGAAAAATACAACAAAAAGGCCTCTTTCTTCATGATCTGGGTCAGAGTGATGAAGGCGACAGGACTCATAAACAGTTGTTGTGCCATTTATTCAGCTTTTTTGGCTTTCTAGACTAGTTGTATCTTTTAAATGACAATCTTAGTCATTGTGGTTCATTAATAATATGCAACTTCCAAGACAAGAGTCAGTTTTGTTAAATGCAATAACCAGCTCCAATCCGGAGTTGACCTGAGTTAACATTCAGAACAGAGCTCTATTGACTCAACAAAAGACAGAAGCAGCTGGAAGCAACTAACTCCATCCTGTTCAAAGACTTAGGGATCGACAATGAAATTGTTTAACTATAAGGCTTCTAATGTGATGAAGTATTGATTGCAGCCTTCTTATCCACCTCGACATAATCAAAAAGTTTAGCGCTGGAATCGAGTCCATTGCAGTTCACGCCAAACCACTGCCACAACACAATATCTGACCTATAAATATGCAATCCAGCTGACTGAGCTCTGTAAGAAGCTTATATGGTATATGGGAATTTGACATTCAATTTCTTTGGTTGCCCTATAGAATAATGCAACAAAGCGGTGGACGAAGAAGCAAATGTGCAGTTTGAACAAAGATTAAAGCTATGTGGTGGAGGACAGAAATGAGATGAAGAAAATCACTTGAAAAAGTTCAGATGGCTAAATATAAATCTAACTCTATGTGCATCGTAAAAAGATTTCACTTAAATGAAGAGCAGTAACATGTTGTTGTAGATTAACCACTTTGCAAGAGGAAACCACAAGATTAATGGCCACTTCAAGAGCAAAACATTGGGTTTCCTCCACATTCTCTTCATAGGTCATGTACTATTTTGACTGAAACACTTCCTACGTCATTTGAGTACAAAACAGGGGCTCAAGTAATTATCATCCAGAAAATGTTAAAGTAAAACTACAAATTATACTGTATGTGCTGTGTTCATTTTCTATGGAGGTTGCTATTTTTACAAACATGTTACCAACCTTCAGGATAGATTTGTGTGATTCTATCTAGCATTTTAGCAATTAATAATAAAATAAATATTATATTTAAAAAAGAAAGAAAAAGAAAAAACCCTAAGCTTTCGTAGCTAGTTTGGGACCAAATATTGCCTATAAATGAAAGAAACAACATAACATAACATAACATAACATAACATAACATAACAAACATATAACATAACATAACCATATAACATAACAAACATATAACATAACATAACATAACATAACATAAACATATAACATAAACATATAACATAACATAACATAACATAACATAACATAACATAACACATAATATTTGTTTTGGATTACAGGGTTGAATTGTTGAGTTTGATTGTAATATAATTACAGTCAAGAATGTCAAAATCCATGCATTTGATGCAAAACCACACTGTAAAAAATGATCGAAATGTTAACGGTAAAGATGTTCCTTTGCAGTATACGGTCAACACCTGTAACAAATCGAACAGGACATTTTATGTAAACAGTCAAATACGGTTAAGTTTACAGTTTTTGGAAGTGAAAAAGAACAAGTCATCTTATTATTTACAGTGAAAAACGTAAATTGTAATTCCCAGAATTCCCTGTGTGATGCTTCGGATTGTTTTTTTTTCTATTTAAATAATTGTTTCCTCTAGTTTTTTTTTCTTATCAGTTATGTACATTATGTTTTTACATCACATCTTATGTTGTTAAAATAATGTTTATTGCATTATTTTTTTGTGTTATTATGTTAGTGTTGTATTTGTGTGAATGGCATTGTGCAACTTCTATATATTAGCATTTACCTCCTCAGCTTGTGGAAATGAGTTTTGATTCATCGTGTGGCTTTCTCTTTATCACCTGTATTTTTGGGTATTTGTCAGTGTATTATAAAGCTACAAAACAGATTTTACTACTTCAGTAGGTTGGTATTTTAACATTATATAATTTAATGAAATATAATATTTTTTTACTGTAAATTCAAGTTTAATCCGTTAAACCTAAAATGCTGTTACCTAATTTTACTGTAACAGTTCTGTACAAAGTTCTTTTTTACTGTACATTTCACAGATTTTTTTTTTACTGTAGCTACTTTTCTTTATATGTGAAAAGTATTTAGTGTATGCTAGATAAGAGTGACTAAGAGATACTAAATGCAGCTATTACTCTTTAGATTTTTTAGCTTCCAGCCTTTTATGAAAGCTGACATGATGTAAGTCCATGTGTGCATCTACAGTTTAAATTATAAACAGAAGGAACCAGCTTGATAGGACTGATATCTACCTTAAATCTCATGAGAGTAAATGTCATGGCAGATGATTACCTGCCAAGGGACCGCAGATGAAAACTAGCCATTGGCTAAATTCGGTACAATGCATGAAATGGAAACATTTATGTTAAAATTGTGCATGGTCCCTTTTCAAATAAATTTAAATAAATAAATAATGAAAACTGTAAACTGCTCTTACACAAAGTTAGCCTAAAAAACAACAGCAAAACAAAAAGAGAATAATTTAGAAAATCAGTTTACTTCTTTCTCCCTATTTAAGCAATGAAACAAAATTAATGTATTTCACACACAGTACAGAACAAATGAACACAAACGGGTTGTACAGTGTAATCATTTTACTTCATTCACACATGTGAAGTTTACCTTACATTTTACCTTACCTCTTGTTGCATATAATCTGTAAAAATCAGCAATTAAAAAAAAAAAAAAAAAAACACTTCAATTTATCATTTGAGAGTGAATGGATGACTGGAAAGACTAGTTAAAAATCAACCGATTCATTTAATTAGCATTGCTTTTCATTCAAATGAGCGCACAACAATATTGAGAACATATGGTCTTTACATTTATGATGGGAAACGCTCAGGTACACACACACACACACAAACACACACACACACGCGCGCTCACACTCACGCACGCGCACACTCACACTCACGCACACGCACGCGCACACTCACGCGCCCACACTCAACTCACACACACACTCACACACACACACTCACGCGCACACTCACGCACACACACTCACACACACGCGCACACTCACGCGCACACGCACACACTCACGCACACACTCACGCGCACACACGCACCCAGACACACACTCACGCGCACACGCACACGCACACACGCACACGCACACACACGCGTGCACGCACCCTGAAACAACCCCTAAGTCATTTATTCAAGTTTGAATAATTTTTCAAGTATTTTGCAATCAATCTTTCCACCCTGTCTAAATAAATTTGGTCCATGAGTCGTTCATAAAACTATGGAAGCCCATTTCTGCCACTGGAAAAAAAAAAAGGTAATTGCAACTTATTTTTCTCATAGAAAAAAAGTCAGAATTGTGAGATAAAAAGTCGCAATTACCTTTTTTATTTTTTATTCAGTGGCAGAAATGGGCTCCCATATAAAACAAATAAAATAACAAAAAAAAAAAATTACATAAAATACATTAAGTAGAAAAATATTCCATTGATTAATAAACCTATACACCGAGAAAAAAGGCTGCTTTGGTCACTTTTTTTTCAGTGCAGTCAGCTGACATTCGAAGATTCGTCCAATGAAAAGGCTCAGCCAAGCCCCACATCCAGTGACATCATGACGATGAAGCCCAGAATGGACGTCCATGAGGCCAGTTTGCCATTCCCGCTGTGAAAGAAACACACACATTCAGTGGCATATGAACATCTGCAGTCTTTCCAGTGAACGCTTGTTCACTGTGCTGCTGCTCACCTGACTTGGGCTTCAGGAATGATGTCATCCACCACCACATACACCATGGCTCCTGCAGCGAAGGCCAGAGCGTACGGTAGCAACGGCTCCGCCAGCACCACAGCAACGGCCCCTAGCAACCCCGCCAGAGGCTCCACCATCCCACTCAGCTGCCCGTACCTGTGAGGCAGACACACACGCACATACAACACTAGGACAGATCACTGCAGCACTTTGAACTACTCAATTAACAGGTTTTAGAGCGTCTCAGAAATTAGGACATATTAGGAATAAATTAAGACAAATAGATCATAATAAATGTTTGTGACTGTGGCATTGGTCCAAATTCTAGAGAGCTGCCTACATAAGCAGCTTCCTTCTAAGACAGCAAGCTAAATAATAGACTAGTAGTTCACCAATATATCGCCAAGGCTAATATTTATTGGCAGAATTTTAGCTTTGTATGTATTTTTCAAATTCATTTTTTTCAAATTTCAAATTTTTTTCATTTTTTTTTTTTCCCCGTTTGGCCGATAAGTGTCCGAAGCAGGACTTAAACAGTAATTTCTATTATTATTATCATTTTTTTTTAATGAAGTATTTCTGTTTGGCCAACAAGTGTTGAAAGCAGGACATCAACAGTATTTTATTTATTTATTTATTTTTTCTGTTTGGCCAATAAGTGTCAGAAGCATGACTTAAACAGTAATTATTATTATTATATTTATTATTATTTATTTATATTTTTTAATTAAGTATTTCTGTTTTGGAAGTGTTTTTTTTTTAAATTTTATTTAGATTTTCTCTTTGGCCAATAAGTGTCAGAAGCGGGACTTAAACAGTAATTATTATTAGTATTATTTATTTATTTATTTAGTTATATTTTTTAAATTAAGTTTTTTTTTTTTTTTTAGATTTTCTGTTTGGCCAATAAGTGTTGGAAACAGGATTTTTAAAATTATTATTATTATTATTTTATTTAAATTTTTTTTATTAAGATTTTCTGTTTGGCGAGACATGAACAGTAATGATTAGTAATTACTAGCAAATACTATAATACTTTCTCATATACTTTCGGCATTCAACAAATATGCAATTATACAATTTAAGCAATTCTATGAATATCTAATAAATAATTCAATCGACAAACCTTGCAAACTTTGGAAAATCCAACCGTTAGGTATTATGAACCTTGCATGTTTGTCCAAATTACGGTGTCTAAACTGTTTGGAGCAGCCTTTGTATTGGAAGTGTAACACTTTATGCCACGACACATTAAAACGTCGTCCATGCATGCAGCTCACTAGGTTTTGGATGTGAATGTGTATCTGTCTGGACTCACCAAAAGGATCGCCATGTGGACACTCCAGAACCCCGCAATGGGAGACTCACGGCAAGGCCTTCTGGAAAGTTCTGAATGCCAATGCCTACAGCCAAATTTCTGAAAGAAACAGACATTATCGCCAAATCAGTTCCCAACGGAGAGCACACACACAGATCAGTTTTGACACTCTGTAACTTTCCAACTCTCTTAACTTCACACATTATCTCAGCGAGAGATTTAACGGCGTCGGCCGTGCCAGGCTTGAGAAATGACTGTTGACTAAAGCTCTCCGTCTGAATCAGATGAAGGCTTTCTGGAGTGCAGCATATGGGTGTGTTGTACCACAAGACCATGAGAAAAACGGGTTACGGATGGGGCACGAACTACATCTGGAATCACACTGCTGTGTTTGGATAATCCTGCATGAAAGTTTCTCGCACAAGCCAAGACGGTGACTGTAAAACGGCTCACGAGTGTGTCAGCGGGCATTTACTCAAACCAGAGTGTAAGAACAACACTTCATTATGGAGGATGACTTTGATTTGCTCTGGAGAGCTGTGGGAAGGCGCTGGGAGCGGGTTTCTCTCCCGAAGCGGTCTGAGGGTGGTCTCCACCACACAACTGATAAGCAGCTCTATTTGCTTGGCCTACACTTCTCCACATCGTAAAGCAGCCGCCCTCTAGAAGTTCCCGGAGCCTGCGCTCACAAAGCAAGAAAAGCTGCTCTGTTTTGGGAAGAGTGTTTTGACTCCCCCCTCTTCACTGCCTTCTTCAGTCTCTCCTGCTGTACGATGTGCGCTGGCATGCTCTCAAGGTACTGCCCCCAGAGAAGTCAGATTAATGACAGCTAGTCACGGAAAGGCTGGAGAGCTTGAGGGAGACAGAACGCAAGCGAAAGTCTGAAGAGAACGAACTCTTGCAAACTCGTTCTTACATGCAACACAAAATCAAAGTAGTGTAACAAAAATGAATGCACATGAATGAGGACTAGGACTGTCAAGACACACACACACACACAAAAACACCATTAAACTATTATTAAAGTGGTCCAAATGGCTCTTCTTCCAAGTCTTCTGAAGCAGTACTGTAACTTTAAGACTGTTCCTTCAACACAATAATATGGCAATTTTTAACTATTTTACATTATGACTAATTGGAAGCTAATTCACATGAATTCATACAATGTCGTTCGTACAACTGGAAGAACATTCTGGCCGTCCTTTTCAACGTACTGCACGTGAATGAGAACTGGGACTGTCAAGCTCCAAATTGACAAAAAAAAAAAACACCATTAAAATATTGTAAAATTAGTTCTTTCAAGTCTTCTGATGCAATACTGTTCATTTTTGTTTGGTCACAATCTTATAGCAATTCATAAGTTCCTGAATGTGAATTGCTGATTAATTCATTTTAATTTGTACTATCTAATTCATTTTTTTTTGTACGTCTAGAAGAACATGCCTTTTTTCACCTTCATGCATGTGAATGAGGACTAGGACTGTCAAGCTCCAAAAAAACACACAAAAAAACAAAGTGGTCCAAAGTCTTCTGAGGCTAAACGGTACATTCTGGTCTGTTCCTTCAAGACAATATCATGGAAATTCGTAACGATTTTAAATTTTGGCAAATTGGTGGCTAATTTGAATGAATTTTTACGTCTTGAAGAACATCCTGGCCGTTCTTTTCAACATAATGCATGTGAACGAGGACTAGGACTGTCAAACTCCAAAAAAATCACCACTAAAATATTACTAAAATGGTCCAAATGGCACTTCTTCCAAGTCTTCTGAAGCAATACTGTAAATTTTGGACTGTTCCTTCAAGGCAGTCTTATGCAATTAGTAATTATTTCCTTTTTGGCAAATTGGTGGCTAATTCATTTGAATTCGTACGATCTCATTTGTAGGTTTTTGCATGTATTGAAGAACATTCTAGACATTATTTTCAATGTAATGCATGTGAATGAGGACTAGGACTATCAAGCAAAAAAAAAAAAAACACCATTAAACTATTATTATAGTGGGCCAAATGGCTAATTTTTCATGGAAATGTATAACTATTTTACATTTTGGCAAATTGGTGGATAATTTTATTATTATTTTATTATATTATTTCATTTGCATGAATTTGTATGTCTTGAACATTCTGGCCGTTCTCTTCAACATAATGCATGTGAACGAGGACTAAAACTTTCAAGCTCCAAAACACCAAAAGAGCACCATTAAACTATTACTAAAGTGGTCCAAATGGCTGTGGTCTGTTTCTCCAACACAATCTCTTGGCATTTTGTGAGTATTTTTCATTTTGGCAAATTTGGTGGCTAATCTGTATGAATTTGTTCAGTCTCATTCATTTATTTTCATACAATCTGCTGGAGTGGGATTTTGGGCCAATGAGATATCATGGTGGGCGGGGCTATAGCATGCAATGCAACAGACATTAATATAGTTTTTATTACTGGTCACTTTAATGCATTGTGTCTGGTTAGGTGTAACTAATTTCCTAGATCAGACCAAGAACAAGTTGAAAAGTGAAAAATTCAAGTTATGATCAACTGGTAGTACATCCGAGTGATTGTTGGGGGAAAAAAGTAGGGCGGGGACTTGGTTCTGTGCATCAGTTGTTGATTGGATGGAGGCATAAAGGGGTGGAGTTTAAGCAGATTAAATCATTAGAGAAGTCCTGCATATGTCACCAGTGAGAAGTCTGTCGTTTTACCAGAAGATCAAGTTTTGAGATTTTTAGGTATAGCATTGATCTCAGTCTGATATAATGACCAGATAAACCGGAAAAAAAAGAAAAAAAAAAAATCAAAATGGCCTTTCAAAAACATTGCATTTATGTATATAAAAAGCTTTATTTATTTAAAATGTAAATGTTCATAAATTTAAGCCTTCAGATCATGAGAAATATAAATTCAGCCAAGCGTGTGCAAGTTTTGACTGGCGGTGTAGAAACTATGACATTTTGATTAAACATTATGAGGTCAATTTTTATGGATTTTGCATGGATGAATCGTTCACATTAAAATCCCTGAGATGCATTTAGACAATAGATGGAGTGATTTTCCATTTCCTGTTGACTTGAGAGGGGAAGAGAAATGAAGAACGGATGAGAGGACACGAGAGATGTGATGTGGCATAATGAAAGACTGAAGAGAAAACCAAGGGGAGTTTTTGGAGAAGGGCGAAGTGAACTCACTCACCCAACTGAAGAGTCCATGGCCTAATGTTCACACAGAGTGGAAACAACAGCCCTTCTCACCATTTCAGAAACAAGTTTTCCCATCCCCAGGAATTCTTCTCTGGCATATTTCACTCCTCTGAGGCAGCTCTATTTCTGTGAGTCTATTCACCCACCTCTGAGCACAGGCTTCAGTAACCGCAAGCTCTCAGCAGTAAAATAGGGTGGAGATCTTAAAACGATCTTACAATGTCCTTCCAACACGTCCCTTTCTTAGCTCAGTATACAAGTTTAAAGGCGAAGTGAAACGAAGTGGTGATGTGTGTTTGTGATACAGTGCGTGTCTGGGCTGACGTCTGTATTAAAACAAACAAAAAAAGCATAAAGGGAAACATTCCAGCGTTATTGCAAAAGCATGAAGAAGCCTCCATTGAGAGGGGAAGACAGTGGCTCCAGTGTCTGACCACAGAGCTCCTCTCTGGGCACAAAGGGCCTTTGGTGCCCCCCCTCCATCCATGGGGGTCTGCCCTGAATGGGCATCTGCGTGTTGGGAAGAGCATGGGGATCTGGGTGAAATGAGGGAAAATCCCCAAAACCATCTGCACCAATCACTATGGCTTTCCGGCGATCTTTGACCTGCGCACCCAGCGTACCCGCTGCTTTTCACTCACAACTGTGGGAAAATATACCTAAACACAGCCTCTGTTTTGCCACAATCGATCAGCCATGTGATCTACTGGCTCAAAACAAAGTTTCACTGAACAGTGCAGAAACATTCAACTCAGTCAATTGTATATTACCTATACAGTCCTATGTAAATTAATTCATCTTCTCTTTCATTAAAGGTTACACAAAAAAATAAAATAAAAGTAGCATTTTAAAAATAAATGTAATTTGCCACAGGCTCACATGCTCTTTTTTCTCTCAAAAAGGTATTAGAAACCATAACGAATTATTACGAATGTCAGGATTACGAAAGATCAGAAAAAAAAAGGTGGATAATAACCAGATCAACAGAAGAAATTTCCATTGAAATGGTCCATCAAAAATGTTAAATAAATAAATGTTATATATATAGAGGGTATAGAAAAGAATCACCCTCCTTTAAAATAATCACATTTTGTTGCTTTGCAGCCTGAAATGAAGATGGACAGAGTTTTTGTTTTATCCAGCTGTATTTACTCAGTGCAACTTATAACATCCAAGTGAAAGATAAAACACCAACATGTCAGAAAAAAAGAAGAAAAAAAAAAAAGAATCACCGATTTCAAAAGATCATGTGACACTGAAAACTGGAGTAATGATGCTGAAAATTCAGCTTTGATCACAGGAATAAATTATATTTGAAAGTATATTGAAATAGAAAACCATTTTTTTTTACATTGAAATAATATTTCACAATATTACAGTTTTTTTCTGTATTTTTGATCAAATAAATGCAGCCTTAGTGAGCAGAAGAGGTTTCTTTAAAAAAAACATAAAAAATCTTACTGATCTCAAACTTTTGAACAACAGTGTATATATGAATTATTTATTACAAATGTAAGCATTACATATTCAAGACTTTAAGCAAAATTTAACAAAAGATTTTTAAAAAGTAGCATTGATGTCAACGCGAAATAATTACCAGATAAACTGGCCTTTCAAAATGGCCTTTCAATAAATAAATACATTTTCATACAAAAATTTAAATGTACGAATTTAATATTCAAGAATTTATGCAAACTTAATTTTAATACAAATAAATTTAAAGTGATGCAAGTGATATTCACAGTCATGTCTGGTATCATTTGAAATGTCTCATTGCGACTGGTACAATGGTCTCAATCTTACAAGAAGTAGACTAAAAGGTAATATAGATCCTATGAGTTTAGAGATACTTTGCAAGCATGGGGTGGAATATTTCATAGTACTAGCCATAACTTCTGATTATT